ATGGATGGATGGATGGATGGATGGATGGATGGATGGATGGATGGATGGATGGATGAATAAATGAATGAATGAATGAATGAATGAATGAATGAATGAATGAATGAAGGAAGGAAGGAAGGAAGGAAGGAAGGAAGGAAGGAAGGAATGAATGATTGAATGAATGAATGAATGAATGAATGAATGAATGAATGAATGAATGAATGAATGAATGAATGAATGAACAAATGAATGAATGAATGAAAACGTCTCCTCAAACTCACACATTGATCTCTGGAGCGCTGATTGCCATGCCCAGGAGACCACCGCTGAAGAAAAAAGAGAGAAAAAAGAAAACTCACATTAGAACACGCTGGCTTAATAAAAGATACACATTCATTAAGTTAGCAACACAAACTGCTGTATTTTTTTTTTTTGCAGTCTAGTAGGTTACTCATATGGCTTCTAAGGCCCTCGTAAATCAAATGTTTTCAAGAAAATATCAAACCTAATTGCAAAACATCAAATTGTGGTGAAATACGGGCGCGGGGGGGGGGGAGGAGCTCTCCTGAAACCCACAAGATTGTTTATTCGTTGTTTTTTGGTGGGCTTTTTTTTTTTTAAGTCAAGATCAGGGCATTCTTTCCACGCCCCCTCCACGCCCCCTCCCCCACCCCTCAAAACACCCGTGTTTCTCGTATTAAGTTCCCCAGATCGAAAGGGGCAACAATGATATTGACAACATTTTACTAATCTCCTTTATTTTATTTTAGTAGAGGTTTTACGGCGCTCGCAACTGCATAAGGCCATATGAGCGCCAGAAGATTAGAGGTGTTACAAGAGAGTAACAAACATAAAAAAGAAGGAGGGGAGATGAAGACGAGAGATGTTTGATAGGAAAGAAGAAGCAAACCACACTAGAGCACACACCAACCGCCCACTACTAATCTCCCTAGGATTCATTAGGAACCGGAATGGCTCGACTAACTTGTTCCAAGGAAATTTTGCACAGCACAATATACTATCCCCGTCTTTTTATGTAAGAAAAATTCTGAAATTATGCAAACTGAGCCCAAAAATGTGAAATTATGCGATTCTGTTAAATTTAACAAAGAATGATAAGGAAAATAATCAGAAATTATGCAAAAAGAGACCAAATTGTGCTAAATTATGGGGGGTGCATAAAACCACGGGGACAATATATCGCAAGTGGCTGAAAATGATGGATAACTTTCTGAGGGAGGGCGGGCGGCGTCTACATATTCAGGACAGGCTATCCAGAAATTTCAGAGTATATAATGAGGAGAGGAGGGTTTTTTGGTTTTGGTTTTGGTTTTTCGGTTTTAATAAGAGTTTTACGGCACTTGCAACCCAATTGGATCATATAAGTGCCGAAGATTAGAGGTGTTACAAGAGAGAGCAACACGCACAAAATAGAAGGAGAAATAGAAGAGATAAAGACAATAGCTGATGTTTGATAGGAAAGAAGAAACAGTAAACCACACTAGAGCACCCGTTGTGGGGGTGTTTTAGGGGTAGAGTGGGGAGAACAGGGTTAGGGGTGAAGGAGGTGGAAGGAATGGGGCGAGAAAAAAAGGTGGTTGAGGAGGGGATGGTGAGGGAGGGGGAGGGTAAGGGTGAAGGGGATGGAATGGAATTTTTAAAAATGTAAGGGGGG